CTCTATTGATTTTTTTTTTTTTTACAGAGAATGGAAGGGAGGTGGGGGGAGAGAAACATCGATGTGAGACACATCCACTGATTGCCTTCTGCACGAGCCCCAATCAGGGCTGGGGACTGAAACTGAAACCCCCTATTGCACAGTCTGACACTCTAACCACTGAACAACACTGTATGCGGGCGAGGCCCAAACCTGGAATTCTAAGTAAGAGATATGAATTCGTGGTATTTGATACAGATTATGAAACTGCTTTGCCGATATGTTATACCAACTTATTCAACCACCAAACGATGATAACTTATTTAAATCATATTATCAATGTAGTAGGGAGAAGAAAAACCTCTTAAGTCTTTCAATTTGCATTTAAGAACACTGCTAGGGGGAAAAAACTTGAATTAAGACCTGTTACTGGTTATATATGTCTCCTCTTTTAGAATCATCACTAATATTGAGGGGGAAAGTTTACCTGCTAGTTGGGCACCTGTCTCTTCCCTGTGGAGGTAGCGTGCTGTTAAGAGTAGAAAGAACAAGACCTTTGGGATGCGAATCCATCTTCCTAAAGAGCTGGACATACATGCACCAACCCTGTGAATTGTTACTTTCATCCATTCATTTAGACTAAAGGGAGAATCTGATCTGATCAAAAGGGAGAATTTGACCATTTAGCTAATACTTAAAAAAAAAAGTTATATATTTTTAGAGAGGAAGGGAGGAGTAACATCAACGTGAGAGTGAAAAATCAATCAGCTGCCTCCTGCACGCCCGTACCAGGGATCCTACCTCCAACCCGGCATGTGCCAGGCTTGAAAATGGTAGCCTTTCTGTGCCCAGGCTAATGCCTGACCAGCTGAGCCACACCAGGGCTATTCTCATCTTTAAGAGTCACTCTTATCCTCTGCAAGTAAGGATCCATTTTGGGAATTAAAGAGCTCATTTTTTCTCAAGTATCAATTTTCTTCGATTTTTAAAAAATAGTAAGATGCTTACACGTACTATGAAGCCCTTGCTTAACGTGAGATGTCACATATCAACTCACCTTCATGACAGTCCGAGGGAGGTTGATACTCATTCTTACCAACACCTCACAGAAGGAAAAACCTGGTGTGCAGGGGAGACTAAGCACTTTGTTTGAACCTTGGTAGCCTATATTGTTAAGCAGCCGATTGACTACCCCAGCCGCCTCTAGCAAGTCAGAGGCAAGTCAGCAAAAAGTAAGCAAACCACTGCCGTGGCACTGAGGAGAGAGACACCGCCGGCCACTCTCAGGAGTGTGCTTGTCCCTTCGGGCCCAGACTGAATGGAGGAAAGGGCGGCCGAATCTGAAACTAAAGCGCAAACCCATTTCAGGAGTGTGGACCGGCAACCCCTCCAGGTGCTTCTAAACTCGGAAGCAGCTGGGCTGACTGCTCCCCTTTGAGCAAGTGCGGTGGGCTGTGCCTCCTGTCCGGTCTGGAAGGGCTTCTGACACAGTCCACCCTGAACCTCTCTCTCCAGGCTGCTAGGCAGGCGATGGCCCGGTTATTAAAAAGAGCCATGTTGCAAAGGTGGGAATTTGCTGTTAACCTTTCCTCATCTTTCCAACCCAAAAGTGTGTGTGTGTGTATGTGTGTGTATGTGTGTGAGTGTATGTATGTGTGTAATATGTGTGTGAGTGTATGTGTGTATGTATGTGTGTGAGTGTATGTGTGTGTGTGACACAGGGGAAGGGCACATGACTGACTGTTAGTTTATATACGTGAACTGTTGCCAGGAAAGGTAAAACCCAGACATTTGTATTTTCCAGACAAACCGATGCAGGCCGTCCTGGGGTTACGTTGGACTCATCATACGTGTACGTCGTTTCACGGTGAGTCACCATCTCCCATTTATTTTATATATAAAAAAAAGTCCCGTCATTTCGACGTCTGTACATGTCTGCCTTATGTATTTTAATATTTATTTATCACAAGTAAAGGGCAGGTATTGTTATTCTTCTTTTAAATTTCTTGTGCTGTTTCACGTCATTACTGCTGTGTCTGTGCTCCATGTGAGTGACACAGGTGCTTATGTCGGTGGGTTCCAACTGACAGTGAAAATCAGGTAAGTCGCACAGTAGGAACCATCTCCGACATACCCCGAGGACTGCCTGTACCCAGTTTATCACTCTGAAACTCAGTACAATAACATCTACGGTACAAACATAACATTCTAAGTTCAGACAACCCAAGAATCCAGAGGCTTATTCACCAGTGTGATTAAATCGGGGATAAAATACCTCTCTGAGTTTTCCATAATTTGTTTTACATCATCCTTTCTTGGATACTTTTCGTAGAAATCACTCATTTGTCTTAGCTAGTTAAGATTAAGTTCTCGGGGATTTGAGTATCAGGTGCTAATAGTCTTGTTTGGTACCAGATCATCTGCAACTGTCTAACCATCAGTTTCTTAAATAACTGTTTTAGCGGGAACTCCTGCAGCGTTTGGGCCCTCCCGCCATGGAATGCTGCACGGTTCCCTCTGTGACTTCCGGAGGGGGCAGAGAAAGGAAAGACAGGCAGTACTGTGTGTACATCTATTTCCCCAAAGCAGCCTGAAACTGTGTGAACTGAAATAAACTTAGTTCCCACCTAAGGCAATTGGCAACAGAATGGTCAGAAAGCCTACCACCTCACTGTTTAAGGCAACCTTGTAAGGGAGGATTAGCTGCTTGTTAACAAGGACAGATGGCACAGAGTAGGCCCAGTTGGGTTTCAGTGTTGGCTCTGTTATCAAAGCTGATCTTAATTCAGTCCCTTAAGCCTGTGCCTTCAGGGGAGAGTCAGCGTTCGTCTGGGTTCATAACACTTTAGGTCCGGCTTTGAGCCAGTGTCTGGCCCTTGCTTCTGATACAGCAGCTTCCGAACCCATCCCGCTAAGAAGTGCTGGTTGGTTTGCATGGTAAACCCTTCCCTTCAAGATTCAGATCATGACCAGAGACCAACAAGCAGGGGCTTATGTGTGGGTGTAGCTCAGCAATTGGGATGGGGAGAATAATCCTATACATCTGCATTAGCCATCTCTCTCCCCTCCCGACATTTCCTTCGCTGTTCCCTCACTGGCAGTGATCCTCGTTGTTATAGAGGGAAGGGAAAGAGGCACATGGAAGTTGTGGAAAACGGCCAAGTCCAAACGAGAGCCAAGCCTGCCGCAGCCACAGGCTCCTGCCGCAGCCACAGGCTCCTCCCGCAGGCGCCACCTCCACCTGCCGGGACCCGCAGCGGAGGACTGGGGCTCCTATGTCTGTAAGGCTAACTCCTCTGGATGCTTTCAGAGAGGAGGTTCAAAATCCCTCTCTTGTTAGCCTTTAAGTAAAGAAGAGGAAAGGAGAAAACTTAAAATAAAATAAGCCATATGCACAAAGCTCAAAGCACATAAGCCAAATGATTTAATTTAATATTAGCAAGGGCCAAATGGTATCTTAATAATGAAAACAAAGACAGTAATGCTTTCCTCAAATAAAACATTTGAAGGAAGAAATATTTCTAAAAAAAAAAACGGGGGGAAAAAGTTTATTTGGAAAAGTTAGCCTCTAATACAAGGCTTTTTATCCATTCTTTCACTCTGTCAATTACAATATTTTAAAATACATTTAATACAATATATAAGCCACTGAATGTCTGTCATTGTTCTACCTCCATTTAAAAGATACTGGGTTAAAAATTTTTCATTTTCATTCCGGTCCGTCTTCCCTTCTGTCCTTATACTAAGTTCATTTTTTACTTTTCAAACAGGTGAAATGAGTCACAAAATTTTTAGGTTTATGTGGAGAAAATGTGTCTTACGAATGTGTTCAATAATTCTAACCAAAACATAATTTTTCTTTAAGAAACTTCTCAGAAAGAAAAAAAGGAGTTATTTATTGAATTAAAAACACTCAGCAACATCCCTCCCAATCTTATCCTTATATGTTTGCCTGGGGCCAAATCTCTTTGGCTCCTTTTAGCCAATAAACATGAAACAACAACAACAAACAACTAAGCACACAAAGAACGAGAATCGCAGACACAGCTCTGAGCTACACAGATATGAATGAAACCACTATGAATCGAAGGGGGAAAAACAATAACAAAAGATCCTAAGTCTCATGGTTAACTGAGGTTCTAGGAAAACCTAAGCTGAGTCCAGCTGCTGTTTGAAATATCTGTCTACATTTAATTAGAGATGTTGGGATTTACTAAGGAGGCACAAACATAGTCTTGCATATTTTAATACTAATTTTTACAGTGAAAAAAGAATACTAAGTGATCTCAAAAGGGACAATGATCTATAAGTACTCAAAATATATCTTTGAAAAGGAGTAATAAACATCCTAAGGAAAGAAACCAGATGGGGTGTTGATGAGTACAATGTGTCTAGGATAGACAAGGTATTTCCAAAATTTTATGCCTTAAGTTTCCTATGTGTATAGCAGGCAGGCACACATGCCAGGCAAATACTGATGCTAGGAAAATATTTCAATCAGGATTTTAGAAAACCCCCAACTTTCAGCCAAGATTTCTACTCAGTCTTTCAGTGATAATGTATGATAATATGTTGCAAATAACACTAAAGCAAGATTAGTTTTAAATTTTAGATTTGCTTCCATCAAGTTATTTTTCTTTTTAACGGAACACTTCAAATAGATGAATTCAGCAGAGTGGTTTATAAAGTTAAGGCTCCTTAAAGATTCTAAAGACTAAAACTTAAGGCACATATTATAATCTTCATGACACTGTTAAAAGCTAAGATTAAAAAAACAAAAGGAAAACATACCCGACTTCTTCCCTTCATTCTTTGCCAAGCACTCCCTCCCCACAGGATATGGCGTTTTAAATTTGGGTAATGGTAAGGAGTGAAACAAAAATTCCATCAAAGAACACCTGGGAGGATTTCCACACAAATGTCCGCTGTTTGCTGTGAGCACCACTGGAGGTTACAGGCCAGGAGAACATCTTCCGAGATCTTGGGTCACAAGCTGCTCCGTTTGCCCTGCAGCCCACGGCTCAGACGGGACTCTCCTCCTCTTTGGCGCTTTCTTCGGTGCTTTTTGGCTCCGGCGATTCTGCTTTGCTGGTAACTGCTTTTGGCATCTCACCCTCTACACCGGCCTCTTCCTCTTTCTGCTGCGCCGATTTTTTTCTGTCATTCATTCGATAATTGATGCCCATGCCAATGAACAGATAGATGCCTGAGAAAATGAGAACTATGCCACAGGCCCAGTACGTATATTTGTAGTCTCCGTAAATGTCATTGAGACGACCTAAAGATGTCAAAAGAGAGAGAAAAAAAACAAAACAAAACAAAAACACTGAAAACACCCACCAGTAAACAGTTATGTGGATAAAAGTAATATCCTTTTCTAACTAAAATTCAAAGACCTATCCAGAAAGATATCAACCTAACTCTCAAACAGCCAACAGGTGACAAATTAGTTTAAAAAGAAACTACCTTTTGTTTATGATGTCACGCTTGATTTTGGCTGGCCTTGCATACTGTCATTTTTAATAACTTAAAAATAATTAAATCTTGGCATATTTGAATTGGGAAGGAACTAGAGATCACCTAGAATCAGTTTTCTCAATACATATGGGGGAGGGGGAATTGTCGCAATAAAGGTTTAAGAGCCTGGCCGGTAGCTCAGTCGGTGTGAGTGTTGCCCCAATAAGCCAAGGTTGCAGGTTTGGTCCCTGGTCAGGGCACATACAAGAGTCAACCAATGAATGCACAAATGAGTGGGACAACAAATTGATCTCTCTCACTCTCTAAAATCAATCAATAAACCAAAGGGGAAAAAAAAAAGGTTTAGGAATCTTGCCCAAGGTCACAGAGCTAATTTCAGTCTCCCAGACTCCTGCTTTCTCTGACGTCAGCACTTCCCGAAAGCATTCCTGTGAAGACTTGTCCTTGTTAACAAAAATGACCGAATGTTAGTGATAACCTTTGCCTCATTCTGAGTGCTGCTTCCTCGCACAGGCAGATGCTACCATCGCTCTCACTGTATAATGTAAAACTGAAGCACAGAAGCCTTAAGTAACTTGTCCGAGGTCACAAAGTTAGAACCGTCGGCTTTAGACCCAGGGAGTGTGACTGAAGCTGCAACTGTAACCTCTGAGCTGCTCCCGGTGTCTCCAGAGTCAGAGAGTTTGGGGAAATGGCCTATCTTATTCTCTCTCAGTAAAGCCGCACAAAGCTGTTAGCATGGCAAAGGCTTGGCAAGGTCCTGCAGTAAAGAAACCTAGTTGGCTTGGTGTTTCCAAACTTTGTTTTTGGCCATGAAATCCTCGTTATAGAAAAATTCATTAGCATCTCATCTAATTGGCACCTCAAGGAATACACTCTGGAAAACCCTAGGAAGGGCTTCACGTAACCGATTCAAATACAGGATTTTATATGCAGGGGTGGGAACGCCCAGCTGCAGGCGGGCCGTGTAAGGCTGGTGCAATCATTAGGTCTGGCCTGCTGCTAGGGGTGAGTTAATTAAATGTTTGACTAAATACAGCAGGCTAATTTTTAGGTTGATAATTTTGTATGGCCCACAAATGATGCTATAAATATCCAAATGGGCCTTGGCAGAAAGAAGGTTCCCCACCCCTGCCACATGGTTTTCTAACTCAGGGCATTATTCACTCAGAGTATTTACTGAGCCTTTCCATACACCAGTCCCCGAGTCTCTTAGGCCCTGAGGAGAAAAGTGGGCAAAGGAAATAATATCTACAGTTTAGTGGAGGAGAGATGTTAATCAAGTAATCGTATAAACTGACCAGTGCTGCTAGGAGGGCTGAAAGCAGAAAATGGGGGGAGGGGCAGTAAGTAGGGTCAGGAAGGCTTCTCTCAAAGAGTAAACTAATAAGCTAGACTGACAGGAGGAAGGGTTATCTGGCAGAGAAGGGGTGGGGAGGGATCCAGGCAAAGAACACCGAGTTCAAAAGCAGCGATGGGAGGAAGTACAGGGGGCACGAGGGGAGGGAGGAAGAAGGGCCAGGCTGCTGGAGGAGAGCACAGGCCAGCAGGTAGGAAATGAGGCTGGAGAGAGAGGTGGGGGGCCCAGGAGGGGCCCTGTGGGCCACATAAGGGAATTTGATCTTCACCCTAAGGAGATGGAAGCAAGTTGAGGGTTCTAATTAGCTGAAATATCCAATTTGCATTTGCCTTTCGAGTAGAAAGCAGATTGAAGGCTAGCTAGAGTGGATATCATAGATAGACTGGAGCAGCTAGAATAGGAACTATGGATAAGAGATCTATGGAGATGGAGAAAGTATACTGATTAGAGATTTAGGAAGTGAAAACTGGCAAGATTGGGCAACTCATTGGATATGGTGGGAGGAAGTATTGCTTATTACTATTAAAATAGACTCCCTTATTAAAATGAAATTACCACCGGTGCCTTAGAGATGGTGTTGTATTTTACATGTCTTCTTACAATAAGCATGGAAGTTTTACAAAGAGAACATTTTAAGAAACGGCATCATTTAAAAAATATTTTACTCCCCTTTCAGCTTGATGGTTCATTTTAACTCAAGTCTGTGTTTGAGCAATTAGTGCCAGCTCCGAGGACACAAATGAGAAAGGCCTGCTCTCCCCCAGCAAAAGGCTCTGTGTCTTCCGCTTTCTATCCCCTTCTCAATCTTCATGCCTGCTTTATATGAACAGACCGTGAAGAGAGGGAGACACACTTACCTAAAAGTGGTGGCCCGAGGAGGACAGGACAGCACTCCACAATGGTCACCAGTCCCACGGCACTGGAGAACTTCTGGGATCCAACGAGGTCCATCAGTGTTTCAAACAATACTGAGCTGAGCCACCCAAATGCAAACCCAAAAACTCCAGCATAAATACAGAGCCCAACGTAGCTGGTGGTCAGCGGTGCTATCATGTGACACACTCCATTTGCAATGACAGAAGCAGCAAAAAAATATTGGACTCGAGGTCTTATCCACCTCGTGTTGGCTAAAAGTCCCATAGATGGTCTGGCAAACATGTCAACGAAAGCCAGGATGGAAAGAAGGAAGGCGGACTTCTCATTAGAGTAATGCCTACTCTTGCCATAATTACTAAGAAAGACCAAAGGGGCAAACAGTCCAAAAAACATGACCACGTTTCCAGAGAGGTATATCAAAAAGCCTCTGTGAGTGAACAAGGAAAAGTCCAGGAATTGATTAATTGTTTGCAATACTGACTTTTTCTCCTTTTTGGGGGTTCCTCCAATGAGATCTGTATTTGCATCAGACTTCCCAGCTTCCTGAGTGGTTTCTGCAGGCTGGTATTTCTTCGCAGTGCTTGGGGGCGGCCCTATTGGTCGCATCAGGGATCCAGCCACACAGCAGTTTAGTAGTAAGCCTCCAAGAATTAGGAAACTTCCTCTCCAGCCAAAGATACCGAAGAAAGCCTGATTGAGGGGGGCCAGGGTAGAGAGGAACACAGGGCTGCCTGCCATGGCCAGCCCATTTGCCAACGGCCGCTTCTTGTAGAAATACTTGCCAATCATGGTCAGAGCTGGATTCAAGTTGAAGGCAAGCCCAAGACCTGAGAAAGAGGGGAAAAGAATCACAAACTGTAATAAATGTCAGAGAGATATCTAGAGTTACTTAACCAGTCAAATAAAATAAAGGTATAAGTAATGGAAGGAGACAAAAATCCTCGTTATTGGAGGATATACTGTATTGTGGTTAAAGTGTGAGCTCTAAACCAGACTCTGTGCTTTCACACCTCAGCATCATTACTTACTGTCTGTGGAAGAGAGAGAAATATTGACGTGAGAAAGACACATTGATTGGTTGCCTCCCATATGCATCCCCTACTGGGGCTGGAGAACCTGCAACCACGGTACCTGCCTTGACTGGGAATTGAACACTCAACCATTTGGTCTGAGGAACTGATGCCCTAGCCACTTAGCAAACCAGCCAAGGCTCATGCATTATTCTTAAGTCAAAAGTGGTCAATACAATAGTGGTCAATAAGCATTTTTTAAATTAAATTATTATCTGTGTACATATTTTAACATTGCCCCCACCATACATACCCTCCCTCCCCAGAGTTTTGTGTCCATTGGTTGTACTTATATGAATGTATACAAGTCCTTCGGTTGATCTGTTATTCCCCCCAGATCTCCCTACCCTCCCCGCTGTAATTTGACAGTCTGCTTGTTGCTTTACTGTCTCTATATCTATCTTTTGGTTCATCAGTTCATAATGTTCTTTATTATCCATAAATGAGTGAGGTCATGTGGTATTTCTCTTTCATTGACTGGCTTATTTCACTCAGCATGATGTTCTCCAATAATAAGCATTTTCTTTAAAACAAAACAAAACACACAGACACAAAGATATAAAAATACTTTTCTAAAAAGATGAAAATTTAAAAGGCACATTTATTACTACTGACTATTCTTAGGACAAAAGATGCAATAATCTCTTTCAACTCATTTATTCATTCAACAATGAACACCTGTTATCACAGGAATTTAAAATGAATCAACAGCAACTCACCTCCAATGACTCCAATACAAAAGTAAAGCCCCTGAACACTGTTAGAGAACGAAGCTGCAATCAGGCCACTGCCTGACAAGCATCCACCAACAATCACGACTGGACGACTGCCATATTTATTCACGAGGATACTGCTGATCGGACCTAAGAAAAGACCGAACATTTAGTGGCCGTAGGAGAGGAACTGCCCCCTACAGAAGGCATTAATGAACATACAACAAAAGGTAATGGTAAGAACACTGCTTTCTTTTATACCTGGATAGTCTGGATGGAATTTTACTAAAATATAAATGACTAGATCCTTAATCTTTCCCTTATAAGGCAGAATAGGCTGGAAATACCCTGGTAATGGATGTTCACAGGCTTCTTGATGTATGTAGAATAGCACCAACATATATTTTGTAAGTTTACTTTGTTTTAAATTTTGGACACACACACAGATATGATGAAGTGATTTCAGAGCATTATTTACATATTATAAATGTGGCTTATTTCTTTAAAAAAATATTTTATTGATTTTTTTACAGAGAGAAAGAGAGAGGGATAGAGAGTTAGAAACATCGATGAGAGAGAATCACCAATCAGCTGCCTCTTGCACATCCCTCACTGGGGATGTACCTGCAACCAAGGTACATGCCCTTGACCGGAAACAAACCCGGGACCTTTCAGTCCGCAGGCTGACGCTCTATCCACTGAGCCAAATCGGTTTCGACCTATTTCTTTTCTTTAAAAAAAAATATATTTTATTGATTTTTTTACAGAGAGTAAGGGAGAGAAAGAGAGAGCTAGAAACATCGATGAGAGAGAAACATCGACCAGCTGCCTCTTGCACACCCCCTACTGGGGATGTGCCCGCAATCAATGTACATACCCTTGACCGGAATCGAACCTGGCACCGACGCTCTACCACTGAGCCAAACCAGCTTCGGCTCGGCCTATTTCTTATTTTTTTATAAAGAAAAAGACTAAATACATAATTATTTTTTCCAACTTTAAAGTTTTGTAATTCGGACATCTAAATGTAAAGCAAAATTAAACAAAACTGTTCCCCAGTGACATCTAGATGTCTCAGGTATTGAACTGATTATGACTTTTAGAGAGTTAACCTGGTTCCATGCCTATGTTACTGCTTTGTGTTATTAGCCAATGCTGTGAGAGAAAAAAATGCTTGTAGGAGAAAATTAACTCAAACAATGGTCAAAATATTCTTGGGTGTAATGCCTCAAAAAGATAGGAAATGGAGTGTTATCTAAAAAAAAAAAAAAACCAACAAAAACAGATCTAAATTTCTTCAGCTAAATCGACACATACAAAAAAAATGAGGGCTTTTTTTTTTTTTTTTTAAATGTGAGAGAAGGAACTAAATAAAAAGCAAAGTATTAAGGGTCAAGAAAAGAAGATTTTTATATATCAGTTTTTTAATACAAAAATCAAATGGCCTCTTCTTATTTGCTACACGTAGGTATCATCTTTAATTCCCCATTTCCAAATTTGTCTCAATTGTAAGGAAGTCTTATCCAAAGCAGACCATGGTTTAAAAGCTGTAACACAACTCACATAGACTCACAGTATTTTCTGATTACACATTGAGTGACACTCACTGAATTTTATTTATAAGAATACTTAGGTCTCTGCCGAAACCGGTTTGGCTCAATGGATAGAGCGTCGGCTTGGGGACTGAAGGGTCCCAGGTTCGATTCCGGTCAAGGGCATGTACCTTGGTTGCGGGCATATCCCCAGTAGCGGGTGTGCAAGAGGCAGCTGATCTATGACTCTCTCTCATTGATGTTTCTAACTCTCTATCCCTCTCTCTTTCTCTTTGTAAAAAAATCAATAAAATATTTTTTTAAAGAAATAAGCCACATTTATAATATGTAAATAATGCTCTGAAATCAAACCAATACCACAGAGGGAGCACCTCTCAGCCAGAAGCCAGGCTCATGGCTGGTGAGCACAGCGGTGCCGGACTCTCTCACCTCCACAACATTGCTAAGGATGTTTACCTGCGGGGAGCAGGCCTAAGCCCCCAGTGGGGTAAACCCCGAGGGCTCCCGGACTGCAAGAGGGAACAGGCTGGGCTGAGGATCTCCCCCCCCCCCCCGCAGTGCACAAATTTCATGCACCAGGCCTCTAGTACTTTCAATAATAAAGATTAAAAAACAAACAAACAAACAAAAAAAAACTACATATGAAAATAATTTGAGGTACTAAACAGCCACCAAAACACCAAAATATAATATTATCAAAAATGAAAGTTTGCCTAGCCGAAACTGGTTTGGCTCAATGGATAGAGCGTTGGCTTGGGGACTGAAGGGTCCCGGGTTCGATTCCGGTCAAGGCATGTACCTTGCTTGCAGGCATATCCCAGTAGGGGGTGTGCAAGAGGCAGCTGATCGATGACTCTCTATCGATGTTTCTAACTATCTCTCTCCCTTCCTCTCTACAAAATCAATAAAATATATTTAAAAAAAAAAAAATGAAAGCTTGCCTAAATAAGCAACCTGAGACACCGTCAATCCCAGTAAATAAGTACTGTTGGCTTTAGAATCTCTGCTTACTAAGTAATTATATATTTTCAGTACCATGGTAGGTTTTGACTTTTACATGTTAAATTGTGATTTGGTGTTCCAAAGTGAAACAAACAATATTTTAAATGTTATTAAGTAAGAACTAACTTACTCTTCACATTTCCTTCACATGTCAAAGACAGAGCGGGGGGTGGTGGTGGTGGTGACGATACAATTTAAGCTTAAGGTGCAGCTGAAATGCTTTTAGGACTGTATTGTCACAAGGAACCAGAGCATTTCTTTAATTCTAACACCGTGAAAAGTGTTTTTTCAGAGACTTTGAATTAGCTATTCAAGTTAACTCGATTTATTTTAATTCTCCTGACATTAATTTAAAAAAATCTTTGTTTACATTTTAAGAGTCTGGCGGAGAACAACAAGAAAAATCAGTTGTGCATGTGTCATTTTTCTGAGAGCTTTTTAAAGCTCAATGATACTGAGTAGGAGCAAATCGCAATTTCTCTTTTGTTTCATACTGTGGAACGAACAGAGCAAAAGTTGTCATTACTAATAGGAATGAAAATGTGACTCTAAACATAAAACTTTAAGCAATAACATTTTAAAACATGTCACTGAATGAGACATAAAAAAGTGACCTAATATAGAACTTCTGGCTGCTTTATGAATATTAAAACAGCAGGCCATTGTGGGTACTTACCTGCACCATACATGACAGCCAGCATGATGGAGGATATCCATGACACTTCACTGCTGGTGGCGTGGAATATTTCTTCAATTTCTTTGAAGAACACAGTAATAGACTTGGCAAATGCGTACGAGAAGCCGATGGAGATGAAAGCTCCAAATACCACCGCCCACCCCCAGCCTCCATCTGGGGGGGTGTATCCCACTGGACCTCCAACTGCTGGGGGCATTTTAAGGGCAGATGAATTTCCAAAGGCCGTTCAAATTGAGTATCTGAAGGATATAAAATTAAAACAGTACGTCAGCTATGTCAGCAATATAGCACTTCCACCCACACTGCCGACAATAAACACTTCCACTCTTTACACCAAGCTTTCAAATAATGGAATTGCTTTCCAATGTTACTTGTCTAATGACATTATCTTCTCAGGATTTATCACAAAAAGTCTCAGGGCCATGGCATTACAGGCCTGTGTGAGCTTATGCTTGGCAGGGCAATGTCTGGAAAACCTCTGTTCTTCCAAAGATATAATATGTTTGATCTTGCTAGCAAAGATTTCCCATAGAGAAAGTCCTGCCAAATATAAACTGACCATCTAAAATTTCAAAACACATCAAGAATCAACCGTAAGAGAAGCCAAGCCAATGCAACATAGATTACATACTCAAGAACTACAGATATTGGATATGGATATTTAAATGGCTAAAAACAGTTGATTTGAAACAGAACTTCCAGAAATAAAAAGTATACTCAATGCAATTAATAATAGGTTAGCCAGCATACTGAACACAGCAGGAGACAGTAAAGCTGCAGGATAGGGTTGAAAAAGTCAGAATTAAGTGGAGAGCTTTATTCTGAAGCTATGAGAGGAAGGCGTAGAAACAGGGAATTTAGAATAGGCGTATCGAGCATAGATCTAATGGGACTTTGGAAAAAGCTAAGAGTGGGAAAGAGGCAACTTTCAAGGGTTAGTAGCTAAGAATATAGACTTAATGAATAATACGAACCTACATGAGGAACCCAACAAGATAGAGAAAAATCTTAAAAAAACTATTGAGAAAATACAGATTACATAGATAATCAGTGACAAAACAGAATTCTCATCCATTTTGAAAATTTAAGCCACTGTGTCTTTAAATATTGGTTTTCCCTGTTCTCTCTTTCCTTTCTTTTGAGACTCTAACTGGATGTGGGCGGGCCTTCCCATGGATCTACTCTTTTTCTTCTGAGTTTCCATCCTTTCGTTTCTCTGTGCTAAGAATTTGAGGCCTAGAGCATTATCTTTCCCCAGAGATATATTTCTAGGATAAAATGTTTTAGGTTGCAGTTCATTTGAGGACTGCTTTGCCTCCAGTTCCTCCTTCATCCTACAGCACAGCCCTTTAGCATCCCACCCCAAAGAGCTGGATTTTCACACCAGAGCTCTCACTCTTGATGGGCCTTTGACTCTGAACATTTTTTCCGTTGGGCCCATGAAGCTTTCCAAAGCACTACTCAGGCACTGGAAACTGACTCTCTTTCTATGACCTGAAAGCTTTTGACTCCATAATCATATCACTATTGCCCCAAGTAGAAAGCTGGTAAGATAAGTTGCCAAAATCAGATAATCATCAATACAGGAAGCCACCAATCAGAGGCTGTCAACATCTGCTGTTAGCTCTAAATCCACATTTGCCGCCTATGACAGCACCATAAAAATGGATCCTACATATCCTGCTTGTCAAATCTCAAAGCCAGTATCTAGACTTGGAGATACCTGTTCTGATTCTGCCTTGCAAATGTCACAAAAATGCACTTGATTAGCAGAATTCAAATCAAATCCAGAAACACAGTTGCAAGGGAACCTGGGAATTGTAGTTTTAGCTTTAAAGCCAGGACGGTAGAGCGAAGAACACTAGGAAAAAAGATGTAACGGATGCAAACACTACTTCCACAGACACGTGCAGCATGATGCCATTTTAACCATGCTGTGAGAGGATGATTTATTGCTTACAGGCACACATAGGTAATAACAGGCATGATCGCTTTGCTTAGTGATGGGTATACATTCAGAAAAATGCAACCTTAGGTGATATTGTTGTATAAACATCATAAAATCACCAACACAAACATACATGGACGGTAAAGCCTCTACACTCTTAGGCTATAGTGTATAAATCTATATAGCATGTTACTGTACTCAATACTGTAGGCAACTGTAATACAATGGTATTTGTGTATCAAAGCATATCTAAATAGAAAAGGTATAGTAAAAATGTTACGGAGATGGTGTACATGTGTGTGGGCACTTATCATACATGAAACTTGCAGAACTAGAAGCTGCTCTTGGGTGAGTCAGTGAGTGAAAGGTGAGCAGATGCAAAGGCCCGGGAATTCCACAGGCTGCGGCTGAGATGGCAGACCACTCTAACCCTACATGACTGTAGTCTTTATAAACACTGTACACTTAGGTTAACTAAGTTTATTAAAAATTTCTTTTCTCAATAAATTAACCTTAGCTTACTGTAATTTTTACTTCATAGGTTTTCAAATTTTTTATTATTTTGTAACACTTCGTTTAAAACAAACACCTTATGCAGATATACAAAAATATTTTCTTTATATCCTCATTCTATAAGATTTTTCCTATTTTTAAAATTAAATTTTTTTTTGCTTTTTAAACTTAAAAAAAAAAAAAAAAAGACAAATACACATTAGCCTAGATCAGTGGTCGGCAAACCGCGGCTCACGAGCCACATGCAGCTCTTTGGCCTCTTGAGTGTTCTAAAGCCACTTCTTCAAAAGAGACTCGCCCAGGCCAAAAACCGACTTCTGTGCATGGGCCATGAAGTTCCAATCGCACCATATGTGCACGCCTGCACTTGGTATTTTGTGGAAGAGCCACACTCAAAGAGCCACATGTGGCTCACGAGCTACGCTTTGCCAACCACAGGTCCAGATCTACGCAGGCCAGGATCATAAATATCCCTTACTGTCTTCCTCCTCCACATCGTGTCTCACTGGAAGGCCTTTCATGCATGTAATTGTCATCTCCTATGATAATGCTTTCTTTGAAATATTTCCTGAAGACCTGCCTGAGGCTCTTAAGCAGGTGTCACTCTTCAGAAGCATATCCATGGTGGTTTGCTTGTTTCTATTTTTAACTCACAGATTTGCTTGTAAGCAGAAAATGTACCATGAACATTCCTCTGTATTAACGAAAGCCTTTCAGTGTGGTTTGTGTTCAAACTTTTAAAAAAGCTTGCTGAGGTCTGCAAAGGTTTCTGCTAAACACTTCACTGTGAATTTTCTTCTTTTTCTTCTGCAGCTTTCTTTTCTCTTGCTTCTTCTTTGGCTATACAGTCATGTCCCAGTTCTAATAATCCCTCAGTCAATTCCCAGAACCACCGCTGGTCGTCCTCATTCACACCAGGGTGAAAGGTGTTTGTCATCTCAACCACAGCCTTGTGGAATTTTTGCAATCTCTTCATCCTTGGCAATTCCTTTTAAGTTATGAATGAACCTCTTGAGTGTTTTCTTACATATGCCATCCATACATTCCTTGGTGACATCACCCCTCTTCCCTCCCCCCTCCCCAAAGCAATGTTCTTTTTTTTTTTTTTTTTTAAATATATTTTATTGATTTTTGTACAGAGAGGAAGGGAGAGAGATAGTTAGAAACATCAATGAGAGAGTCATCGATCAGCTGCCTCTTGCACACCCCCTACTGGGGATATGCCCGCAACCAAGGTACATGCCCTTGACCGGAATCGAACCTAGGGCCCTTCAGTCCCCAAGCCGACGCTCTATCCATTGAGCCAAACCGGTCCCGGCTCAAAGCAATGTTCTTGATGCAGTTATAGATGTAATCTTTCCAGCATTGCTGTCTTCCTCAGTTGCAGGAATAGCCTGAGCAAGTAGGTAATCGGCTTTGAACACTGCTGTAACTACTTGGTCCACTGGCTGGATCAAAGGGATGGTGCTCAGAAGAAGAAATACCACTTGATGTTGGGATGAAGATTACCAATAGGAGGAGGATGCCTGGGAGCATTCTCAACAATAAGCAAAACCTTGAAAAGTATTTTATTCCCTAAACAGTACTTCTTCATTTTCCTGGTACTGCAATTCCAAAGGGCATCTTGGAAGAGAAGCTGGGTGTCCCATGATTTCTTACTGCTCCCAGTGTGCTGGCAGTGTGCACTTACTGATACGCTTGAAGGCCCTGGGGTTCTCAGTGTGCCAGATGACAAAGGGTTTCAATGTGAACCTGAAACACTGCCCCCAAGCAAGGCTGCTACCCTTAAACGCCTTCGAACCTGGCATTGACTTGGGTTCCTTAAGGATGAAAGCCCTCGTAGGCATTTGTTTCCAGAATAAGGAGGTTTCAGCCATATTGAATATTTGTTCTGGCAAGTAATTTCCCTCCACAATCAGCTTATCTCAAGTTTCCAAAAATTCCTTGGCTACTTTCACATCAGCAGTCTCTTTCACATTATGGAAATCTAAGGGATAACGATTCTTGAATTGTTTAAACCACCAGAGCTAGCAGTAAATTGAACACTGTAGTCCAGCCTTTTTTTCCAACATCACAAACAAAACTTTTGCTTTGGCCGTAACTGTCATGGTACTGAGAGGGACACATTTTCTGTGTCTGGTCTTCAATCCGAGGTTATCTGAAGGTCCTGAAGGTTTCTCATAAAGGTCCTTCTCGAATTTTCTCTTAGTCTCATTGCCTTTGATGAAACAGATTCTTCAACTGTTTCTATCACTTTGTTGTCTTCAAGATTGTAGCTGTGCTGAAATGGGACATGCCTGATTGGTGAGCAAAAACCATCACTGATTTCCCCCCTTCTAGTTCTTAATTACTTGGCCTCTTACTGGCAACATTAACAGTGGATTCCATACACTTAGGGGACACGATGGACAAAATAACGTGAGATTAAATAACACAAGATAAAATGATCCAATTAAGAAATGTAGCAAGCCGAAACCGGTTTGGCTCAGTGGATAAAGCGTCAGCCTGTGGACTGAAAGGTTCCAGGTTCGATTCCGGTCAACAGCATGTACCTGGGTTGCGGGCACTTCCCCAGTAGGAGGTGTGCAAGAGGCAGCTGGTCGAGGTTCTCTCTCATCGATGTTTCTAACTCTCTGTCCCTCTCTCTTCCTCTCTGTGAAAAATCAATTAAAAAATATTAAAAAAGAAAAGGAAAAAGAAATGCTGCTGCAGGCTAAACATAAATACTGTTTTAC